GGTTTTGTTGCTTTTGCACTTTTTCTACTCTAATTAAAATAAACGAAAATATTTCTTTTTTTTGTTTAATATGAAAAGTAATGATAAACTTACACGAACAACGACTTTATATTTTAAATCTTCTGGTGATGGTAAAGTTTTTAACTGTGTATTTGCTGTTTCTTTTGAAACCAATCGATCTTTATTTACAAAAAAAGCAATATTTTATTCAAATATTATGTTTTGAATATTATTATTACCACCGAGAATTTCTTTTAATATTCGAGCCATTTCTCCTTGTTGTGTAAGTGAACAATGATTTTCAATATTTAAAATAACTGGATATCTAAAACAAAGTAAATTGAATATGAATGTTTTTTTAGTCAATTGAAATTTACGGTGATGTTTTAAAAAGATTTGGTTCCATATAACGAATAATTGATTCGAATGAACAAGGTTTTACAAGTGTAAAACCATGAGTAACAATCGGTTGACCGTCACTACCATCATAACAATCAAGTTCAACAGCTCGACAACCAGTTAACAATGCTCGATTATATGCTTCCGGATTACTTTCACCAGATAATTGACCATAGAATAAATAACTAGACACAAGAATATAAATTTTTACAATAAAAAAAGACAATATCTTCATCATACGTATTATGTGAAGTATTGATATAGTAATCACATAATGGTCTATAATAGAAAGACTAATTAGAATATTAATATGTTCACTTTGCTGTACCTTGTCATATTTTGGTATATCTGACGGGTATATATTGGATTTGCTATATCAAAATTACTGGATAATAACATATTTCGAAAGCCTAGAAAAATACTCGATAATATTAAATTGTTTTTTTACTATCTCAATAAATTACATACCATCAAGACCTAATAAACCTTTTTCTCTGAATTCTTTATTCAATTCAAATTCGTCAATTAGTTTCTGCACTTGATCTGCTGTTTCAATATATTCCCATGTAATCTTATTTTCACCACCACCGTCAGTTTTTGTATGTTTTATAATTTTTTGCTAAAAAATAAACAAAATTCATAATATTAACCAAAAGAAAAAATTAAACTTACATTTTGAACTGTTTGAAAAAATGTTAATAATTCATTGATATTCATATGACTTTTTTCTATTGATTGTGTAGAACCATTTTCTGTATGTCTAACATAGATAATAAAATGTTTATAAATATTTATATATTCGCCTTACTCTTGCATAATTTCATAAAGATCTTTACGTTGAGTTAATAATTGAAAAAATGAAACAAATTCTTCTTGAGTTAATAAACCTTCTCGGCTTACATCTGCTTTCTAAATATAGAAAAAAATCAAGAAAATATTCTTTAACATAGAAAAAAATAATGTTTACTTGAAAAAGTTGTTCAAATATATTGTCGGGCATTTCAACATTTAAAGTATTACTTAATAATCGTCGACATTCTCGTTTAGATAATGAATTAGATTTATCCGTATCAGCCGAACGAAAATAACTTAGAATCCAACTGCAAAAACTCATTCTTATTTATACATATACATCATATATATATTATATCCTACTTTTCTTCTCTAATTAAATGACCCTGATGTTTTTGTGCATGTCTATCAATTAAATATTTAATACCTTCTGCCCATAGATCTCTTGTTTGAGTATTATTTGCCATTAAATGAAGTTCATTTCGATGATTATTATACATTATTGAAAGTGCACGGTTTTCCTAAATGCAAAAAAAAGAATTTTTCTATGAAGAAATAAAAGTATTCTTAAATATGTACATCCGTAGATTTAATACGACCATTTTTGAGTAATTGACCAAATGTTTGAGCACGAAAACCAGATCGAACTTCATCAATATCGTTAATATTATCTAATGAAAATAGAATAAACACGTTTCAAATTTCTATTGAATAACGTATTCAATATTGTTTAATTGAATCTACAACGTGGGCAATAATATTTACATATAAGAAAAATTAAAGAGAATCAGTCAACCGTTTCAAGTCACATGGATAGCAAAATATTCGACTCATCATATATTTCAGTAAAATTTGTAGGAGACAAGTTTAATAACTACGATATTTTAAATTTACTATGAATATTATTCGGTTAAGTATTATATTCATACTGATAAACTATATTTTGTTAATAATGATGAGTAAATTCATCTCTTTTATTGATAACTATTTTAAATTTACTCAGAATTAAAAATCCTCCAATATTTTCTTTTTTTCTAGTAACTGAATAGAACTCATCGAACTGTATCAAAAATGTGTATTACAAACTTTTAAAAATTAAAAAAGAGAATAACTTTAATTATAAAGAAAAAAAAAGAACTATGCATGACTTTTCTCAATTTTTCTTTTATTTTAAACTTATTCGTTCGCCTACAAATCCATATCTAAATACGATGGAGAAAAGGAATTTCTAATTATGAATATCTGTAAAAAAAAACGAATATTGTATTCGTTGATTACTCATCTGTGAAACGTCATAGTGTTCTTATTCTCTCGTTCTATTTAACCTTTTTCTCATTATTTCGTGCATTATATTATTACATATTAACAACAAAAGGAGATACGCTATCGTTTTTTTTTTCATGAAGTAAATTTGATCGCAAAATGAACATCAAATATTTACATTTTTTTAAATTAACTTACATATATGTGGTCGACCAAAAATATGACGTTTTTTTTTTTGATATGTTATAAAGTCTTCATGTTCACTGAGAAAAAATCGACGTGAATATTTTTTTCCATCGATTTTTCGTTTAACTAAAACTGCACCGGATTTAAGCTGTTTCAAAACATTAGCCAAGTGTTTATCGTCGTTGCCCATCGATGTAATTATTTTTCTTTGGTATCGCCAACCGTTCGCTTACAAGGTTAAAAAGAAAATGACAAAATAATATATTTTAACCTATATCGTTTCTTTTTTTCATCATCGTCAATCAGCTATGTCTGATCAAAATTTGTTTTTTTACCTGTGAATGCATAAAGCAATACACGAATAAGTATAATGATGTTTGTTTGTTTTTGTATAAAATCCTGTATCAATTTGATTGTGTCATGCTGTCATTTTTATATACATGAAAGAAAGTAACATGGAGGAAGTGAAACAATTCTTGTAAAACAAAAAAGAAAATAATTCTTTTTCTTTGCTGTTCTTGTCAATATTATTAATAACCATCAATTCCTTTAATGAAGTTTATTTATAGCAGAATAGTGATAGTTCTATTATTTTCTTTTTCTGACATAGTTGTGTAACATGTGGGTAATAGTGACAATATATATATTTATAAAACTATAGTTATCTATGAACAAAGAATATTTGAGAGAAGTTAAAAGCCTTTCATCGTTCAACTTGAAGATAATTATATATTATGATGAAATAATTGAAGGTGAGTAGAGGCCCGATAATTTAATAAATTGATGAAAACCTTTCGAATAATTTGATTATTATCTGTTGAACGCTTTTAAAGATTTCATACTATAGTACAGATCTGGAGAAAATTTTGTTAGATTTTTAATAATAAAAATATTTCTTGATAAAAAATAAACAAACGACTATTATGATAGACTAAATCCTTAATAGAAAACGTAAGTAAAGAAAATTTATTTGAACGAATTAATCCATTCAATAGTTTTATGAAATATTGCACGTTAATGTATGGAAAGGAAAGTGAAAAAAAAACACTACAATAAATTCCATAATCCAATTTAGAAAAAGAAAAGTATCTTATCTTATTAGAAAAGCTGCCACTATCTTAATTTACTCAGGAGAAAAAGGCAAAACAATCCAATTAGTAAAATATATATTTATTATAATATGATACAGAAAATGCCAAAAACGATCATTCATTTGTGTCATACTGACTTTCTTTCATATTTAATGGAAAACAATATAGTTTTTGTTAAAAAATAAATTAGGATTGTCTTTTTTCATTTGTAAAACGATCAATCTTCTGCATTTTTCTTTTATTCTACTTGTTTCATAAAAAAATAATAGACTTCTTTCAAAATTTCTATTGATAAATTTAATTGTACAACTATATTTATTATGTGTACGAATAAATAGAATATTTTAATATTTATATTTTATCCCATATAACTGAAAAAATTCAACGGAACTTTTAAAAAAGAGAATGTAGATTTAGGTCAATTGATTCAATACTTCGTAGGATTCTATAGACATCCAGATTACAGAACATACGACTCAGAATAAACAAAAGAATTGTTTTTAGATTTTCAAAGTTTTGTAGAATCTTTTTTAACTTCTTTAAGATTGTATGCGATTAGAATAATAAAATTCTGTTGTACTTACAGATCTCTGAAGTCTATTCTACTTATTTCTTACCATTTCATTTCAAAGATATTCATTGAACATGCAACGTTTCTTCCTTGATCAATCATTGTCAAGGTAATAAGATTGGATTCTATTGTACTGACGTGTCTTAAAATCATCAATACATTTCCAGAGGTACGTAAAAGACATATTCTAATATCGTTGCATGTCAAACTTTCAGCAAGGATTATATCGGAGGAAATCGATAATAATTCGATTATTTTAATAATTTGATTAATTTAAAGTCTGAAATTTTCTTAGAATCTCAGAAAACAGATATAAATACTACTGGATTGTTTTTAATGAGAAAATATACTGAATACATGTAATTCCAGTTTTCAGTTGTTGACAAAATTGTATAATCAGACATGATTATTACTAAACATAATACTTAAAATTTAAGGAGGAACTCCTATTACAACAAACTGCATCACAGTTATATAAAATATCTATTGATTAAATACCTAATGTATTACTATGATGATTGTAAATAATTGCATTTCTCTACTTCCAAGCAATTAAAAGAATAAACAAAAAAAACATAAAATAATAAAAATTATATCCATATAGTATCATTCCATATCCATCGTCGTGTCTTATCCAATTCAGGATTACTTTTCCTAGGCGTGTAAGGTTCTGATATATATAATTCTTTTATTGATGGTACTTTGTGAAGAATATTTCGTTCAATGAGTATAGACGTTTGAATAAAAAATAGATTAACAGCATTTTTCTCAACATAAATCAAAGTATAATTATAAGCACGACCAAGTGCTGCCATTGCTAACATACTAGCACCATAATGTATTGTTTTTGTCCATCGACGAGAATCTTGATAAGGGTCAACAACACGATTTTCATTGACTGGTATTTCATAATTATATTCAATCACAACTACACGTGCATGAAATCGGTTTGCTTGTAGAATTGATTTCCACACAAAATAATCGTCAAAACTGACAAAAAAAGAAATGAAATTAATTCAAAATCAAAATATATGTTAATCCTACTCAATATCGATTGAAAGAAGATCAATCAGAGATGGAGTTTGATATTTTGCTAATAGATCATTAATATTTTTTATTGTGATATTTTCTTTGTGAAGATTAATCTCTGGATTATCCCCAGTTCCGTCCATCATTAAACCTTGCCAACCTAGTTGTTGACGAAGAAAACGTGTATTACATTCTAGACCCTTTTCAGTACCGAATTCTACAAAACGTGGTGGTTTATTAATTGTACCAATGTTTGTAAATATCCATAAGAGTACTCCATCTTCACCATTCTGAGAGTAAATACGAAGTTCGTGTTGTTTGATTTGTTCCAACCAATTTGAGTGATTATATGAGACATCCTCTAGTGTTGATGTTGTATTCTTTAGATTTTTTGTTGATACAATGAGTTTGTTAGATTGTTCACATGACAGTGTCGATGAGTAAAACCAAAGTACGTCAAAGATTATTAAGAAAACGATAACTGTATTTTGAAGATTACTATCCATTATATTAAATATTGGTGATGAATTTTAAACAAGAAAAAAAGACAAAGATCATAGATACATAACCGTGGCAATATTTGTACAGAATAAATGTTTAATCGATCAGTCACAGTTCAGATGAAATATTCTAAAAACTCGAAAAATATTTATGATTATTAAGGCATGTATACTCATTTCTATACCATAAAAATATAGTAAACGGCTTGTCCACGGAAGCGGTTGATACAGTACAGTGACGCTTATTTGTAATGAATGAGAAATCACAGACACAGTTGCATTACTTCGTTTTGAAAAACAGAACCCTTCGTTTAAAATCACAATTATATTCGATTACAGGTATGAAGTCGTTTACGCATCATGAGACAAACAAAGTGTGACGGAATAATATTTTATGTAGACAGGCCATAAGAGTGAAGAATCGTATCAATTGGAGCTAATGTGCAATTAAATAGTTCTTATAGATATGTTATTGTATGATAGAAATGACTGTAAAATCTGATTGATTTTCTTGTATTTTACAAGACGATTAATCTGATAAAATACTGTAAAATCTAATAGAGTTTTGTGTGATATTGCTGGAGCAGGTGATACGATTACTGATTAATTCGTACAGTCTCCTTTAGTTGAAAGTCAAAGAAAATCTAGAAATAACCAATATTTGTAGATTTCATTATTCGAATTCTTATCAGATTTTTTTGACTAGTTAGATCTTATAAAATCCAGCTAGATTCAGTATCTGAATATATGATTTATTTTCCTGTATACAATGATGTTATGACAAAATAACCCGTCCGCCTGTCTCTTATTCAATAGACTATTTATATGTATCCAAACGTATATGTACAGGTTGACTACGTTATATTTAATAATTTTTTATAATTTGCTGTATTTATGTGAAACACTCGAAGTTTCGTATTTTGATACAGTTGGATAGACCATTGATTACTCTATTGAATCATATAATTTACATTTTATGCCCTTCGGCTCTAGTTTAAAAAATTTATAAATCTCAGAAAATTAATAAAAAAAAGTTTTAAAAACCGTATACAATAAGTTTAATTAAAAACAAAATCTATACAGTTTACGTTAAAGAGTATATTAATTGTGCATTATTTTGTTTTCTAAAAAAGCAAAATCCAGTGTGACCAATTTTTGTCATTAGAAAGAAACATATTGTTCTTACAGGAAGATGAGATTTCGTTTTGTAATTTTGTATTTTCATCACGTAATATGTCTCTGTAGAAACAGAAAAGTGCGTAGGTATTGATTGATCCTTTATGCGATAAAAATAAATAAATAAATAATCCGTAGAAAAAAGGGTGAGTGTGGATGTATATAAGATTTAAAGAATAAACTAACCACACTCACCCTCAAGATGGTACATTTTACTTGAGAAAATGAAATATATATGTACATTTTGCTCAGTTAAGCAAGGTTTACAAAAAAAATTTGTTTTACAATTCTATTCAAAACGCTGACTAATAAACATAATCCCATGATTGCGCTAAATCATTCCCTTGTTCGTTCCCACATCTTTTTCTCTTGCATTGACCGATATGCATATTCGATTTTCTTTCCTATATTACTGAAATGCACGATGGAAGAAAGGTCATTAGATCATTCATTCTTTTCTTTCTCCGGTCGACTATCGTGGAACTTTATTTATATTTTCCATCTAAACAATCAGTACAAACACATACTTAGCGCGATTTTTTTACTCAATTTTATACAAAATTCAAGAATTATTTCAAATAAATGTAAGTGAAAGTATTTAAACAATATGAATTATATATTTATTGATTCTGATCATCGAATAGATAGGAACAAGAATCATGATGAAATTACAAGAAGATCTAATAGTTCTTACACATCTTTCACAGTTATCAGATGTTCACAGAGAATTAAATCAAATAAGACTAATTTATAAAATGAAGTCTTCTTTCGTTAGAAAGCACATCCTTGAAAACTTTTTAGCATCAAGATAAGGTCTCTGCTTACTATGAAAAATCGACTGTCATTATAAGTTTTGTAAAATTTGTTAGAATAATGAAAACGATTGATAAAATATAAAAGAAACATCATGAACATCTAATACACACTTATATGATTCATTGGTGATAGTAACGTTTATTCATCTAGAATTCTTCTTATATTTTTCTTCATGAAGTTTTCAGAAATTACTAGAGACTTCTCTCTCTCTCTCTCTCTCTGGCACATATCTTTAATGAAGACAATCTATACTATGATTAATCGATTTTTGTTTTAGTGCAATAAGTATGGTATTTACGATATCATTAAGTGCTCAAGAAAAGCAACAACAATATCTTACAATGTCAAACATCGATATGCACAATGTTGATCCTATTTTCAAGTATGTTTGCTGTGTAAAGGAATCGAATAGTACCCAGGTC